GCGGCCGTGGGGGCAGGGCAGCGCCCGAGGTACTGGGCGGGGGGAGGGGCCCGGTGAACGCTGCCTCGGGGGGGAGGGGGGTTAGAGGGAGGAGCAGAGGTTAGGACGGTGGGTGACCTGAGGGACTGGCGGGGCCTCGAATGCGGGAAACCCCGGCAGAGGGACATAAAAATTGTGGGGCCCCGGCGCCTCCACTCTGGCCGGAAGCTTCAGGGAGGCTGAAGCTGGGGTGGAACTGGGGAGGGGGGAGCGGGGGCGGGGGAAGGCGGGCAACTGCGGCCAGCCCCTCGGGCCTGGAAGGGGCGGGCAGAATGAAGCTTCCTGGAGGAGCAGAGGAAGTCGTGCCCATTTCTGGAAGTGGCTGAGGTGGCCCGGGGAGGGGAGTGAAAATGGCCTAAAGGGAGCTGGTGCCCAGGCTGAGGGGCTTCTGGGTGCCTGATTCCAAAACCTAGTGACTCCAGACGCTGGGCAATGGGACTCAGACTCGATTTTGACCCAGACCCGGACCTTGGGAGTTTGGGCTGAGCTCAGCAATGCCCCCTGGTGTCTAGTCTTGGGGTCTGTCATGCCATCGTCTTAAGAGTCCCTAGAGATCTGACCAGTGGTCAAGGAGTTCCGTGTGTGGGCTCAGCAATGCCTTCCGTTCATAACACCCTGAAGACCTGTTTCTGATGTCTCTGGGTGCCAAACTGAGGGATAACCTGTGATACCTATTGAAGCAGACAGCTTACCCATCTGTCAACGACGCTCCCGTCTGCCCCTGTGCCTGTTGGGCCAGCAATGTTCCCCTTTGCCCAGAACCTCTGCGTACAGTTGCAGGGCTTGTGCACTGCGCATAGGCTCCGTATTTAGGGGACTACCACACGTCTTAGGCATCATGCATTTCCATATTTATTACAACAGTTTCCCAGCAGATGGAGGTCAAGTGCCTTGGGGAAGGGGCATGCCTTTTGCACAAAAGCACCATATGGGCTTGATCAGCACTGGTTCCCCACCACCACCAGTGCCCTTAGGTTTATGAACAGCCAGTGCCTGAAGACCTGCCCCACTTTCCTCATGTCTGACCCCCCGGACAACTGTGCAGGCTCCCTGGCTCTGGTGTGCCCCTCCGCCCTCAGGCTCAACCCCAGGAGGCCAGGCTACCTCAGCCAGCAGATTCCAGGGCCCACACCATTCCTAACTGAGCTGCCAGCCCTGGTGCTGCTGCTGCTTTTCACAGAGCCTCTCTGTGTTCCCATTACGACACTCGCCAGGCTAGCTCCCCTCCATGGGCATTCACAGGGACCATCACACAAACACTTCTCTCCTCCATCACCTGGGAGAGATGTCCTTGGTCTCCTTCTCCCTCCTCCCTCCTTTCCTTCCCTCATTCAGCAAAGAATCATGGGTACCTACCCAAAGGCAAATCTGACCACATCTCTCCCTTGCTCTGGGTCCTCAGAGTTTATCCTGGTCCTCGGGGATCTGAACCCTCACCTTCCGCCCCGTTCCATTCACTCATTCAGTGAACATTTACTGAACACCTGCAGTCTGCAGTCCTGGTGCGGAAACCTAATGACACTTAGTCAATGATTATTGACTCAATAAAGAGAGATTGTGTTGAAAGCCAGACCACCTGCATTTGAACCTCTGCTTTGCCATTTTGTGGCTGTGTGACTCTTGGCCAGATACTTAATTTCTCTGGGCCTCAGGGTCCTCATCTGTAAGCTGGGACAGTAACAGTACCCACCTCAGAGGGTTGTTGTTCTGAGGGGAGAGTGTTCTAGGCAGAGGGAACAGCAGGTGCAAGAGTTAGAAATTGAGGGATCTACAATCTTTTCAGGGATCTGTAAGCTGCTGGGTTTGATTGGAAAGAGAGAAACTGCAGTAAGGGAAGTGATGGAGCTGGAGGCGTTGGCAGGGGCCAGGGCACACAAGGATGGGGACTTTCCTCTGAAGGCAGTAGGGTAAAGGAATCTAGAAGTAAATGGGTCTCTCTGGCTGCCATGTGGATGTGGTGGTGAGAGAGTGAGACTGGAGGCCAGGAGCCCAGAGGGGAGGCCAGGGAGGGACAGAGCAGCCTTGAAGAGTGGAGGGGACATGAGAGATGCTGGAGAGGACAGGCTGTAGGGTGATGAGGTGCAGTGGAGGAGGGGCCTAGGACAAGACCCAGGGCTCTAGCCAGGTAACTTGGGGATGGTGGGGCCATGTTGGGATGGTGGCCCGGAAGAGGAGCAGGTCTCGTGTTGACACTGAGGCCAGAAAGGGACACAGTGGGTGCCAGGGGCTGGGGGGACACCCAGGGGAAGGCATGTAGGCTGCTGGGCCCCTGGGACCGGGAGCTCAGTAGAGAGGACAGGGGGCAGGAACAGGTGTAAAGGACAGGGGTGAGGGAGATACCAGTTTCCCTGGGCTGCAATGGGTGGAACCCGGTTCCTGCTCGGCTCCAACTGGATGAGGAGAGGGTGGTCCCTGAGGAGAGCTTTCCACCTCCTTCCCCAGCCCTGCAGGACGTCCTGTGTTTATTGAGGTGGCTTTGGCCGGAACCGGGACACTGGTGCCACCCTCTAAACTCAGCTTCCCGTGGCCACACCTCCTAGGGTGAGGACAAGCAAGAGATAGAGAGAGAGACAGAAAAAGAGAGAAACAGACACAGAGAGAATGAGACAGAGACACGGACAGAGAGAGAGACAAGGAATAAGGACACAGAGACACAGAGACAGAGAGGGAAACACATCATTCACCACAGAAAGCTCACAGCAAACTCGGAAAGGAAGCTTCCTGCACCTGCTAGAGGGCAGCTGCAAAAAATGTACAGTTAACATCTTACTTCCTGACAAAAGACTGAATGCTTGTCCCCAAAGATTGGGAACCAGCAAGGATATCTGTCCTCTGATACACGGAGAGAGACAGGAGAGCCTGTAACAGCCTCCTTGTCTGTTGGACCCTGAGCAGAGAGGGGTGAATTTTCCTCCCGGCTCTAGCCTCGCCTGTAGTCAGACTCTTTCCCCCTCAAATACTTAAAACTCAGCTCTGATTGTCCCTCCTGGAAGTACCCAGGGCTCTCAGGACAAAGTCTCAGCCCCTCCTCAGGGCCTTGCTGACTATGGCCCTCCCCACTGCTTCTCCTCACCCTGCAACCTACTCTCATTTATCCACCACCAGCATGAACTCCTATGTATCCTTCAGGTGCCAGCTCAAATGTTACCTCCTTCAAGAAGCCCTCCTTGCTCTTTCTGATAATATCAATGTGCCAGGCCCCTCTTATAGATCTGGTTCTGTTTCTCATAGCTCTTAGCTCAGTGTGTAATTATACTCTCGTTTTGTTGATTGCTTCTTTAACGTCTGACCCCCCTTGGACTGTGAGTTCTGTGAAGGCACCATCATAGTCACTGCTGTGTCCCCAGCACTGCTCAGCCCAAGGATGATTACAGTGGAGGTGTCTGTGAATAATCGGTGAATAAATGTATAAATGAGGAGATACAAAGGAAGGGGCACTTGTGGCCCTAGGGACATAGCCACGAGCAAGGACACAGTTCTCAGCTCATGGAAATTTCCTATGTGTTGAGCTCTGTCTGGATTCAGAGCCTTTGCACAGGCTGTTCCTTCTGCCCATAAAGCTGTTCCACTCCCTCTTCGCTTGCCTGGTTCCTGTGGGCCACTCAATTCTCAGCTCACATGTCCCCTCCTCCAGGAAGCCTTCCCCGACCTCCCTTCCTCAGTTGAAGCAGCTACCTTTCCTGGGCTTCCCCAGCAAGGTCCTGACCTCTCTGCCTGAGATTCCCCCATCACAAACCTGGCCACTCTGAGTCTGGCTCCCTGTTGGACTGTGAACTCTGTAAAAGCAGCCCCGGGCTATCTTGGTCACATTGTGTCCCCAGCACCATCCACCAACATCCAGGTGCTCATTAACTGTTTGCTGACACTGGATGAAGTACTGCTCCCTCTCTCGGCTCTGATACTTTGCCCGTG